TGATTGTGAAGTCAGAGTCCAGAAGGCTGGAGATGCGGATATGCGCAGACGGCTGGCGCGACAAACATTCAACGCGCATACGAAAAAGCACATCCCACTATGTAGGCTACCACGCACAGACAGCCACTACACACAACAAGGCACACTGGGCTAACTGTGGTGTCCAAGGGTCGACCTAACTCTCTCCCCTACCGTCACCGCCTAGCTATCGGCCGCCTGAGGTGGAATGGGCGCAGAGCTAAAAGGAAACAGATCCGAGATGAGCATGGTATGGCTGCTTGTGCAAGCGAAGAGGAAGAAAAAGAGAGAGAAGTAAAGGGGGAAAGAGAGGTGAAACAAGAAAAAAAGGGAAAGAGAGCAAAGACAATAAACAAAAACGAAGGGAAGGAGAATGATAAAAAAAATATCAGGAAAAGAGAGAGAAAGCAGAAAGAGCGAAGCGAAAGAACTGAAAGCGGAAAAACCAGAAGCAAAAGAACGAGAACTCAACTCACCTTTCAGCATTAGCCCTAATAGTGATCAGGATAAGAAAATAAGAGAAGTTGATTGCGTAGGAGCTGCGAGTACAGGAGACGACCTGAAAAGGTGTTATAACGCAACAGATAAGTAGGCAACATCAACGAGATCAGTGTTCAGCCATTAATCACCACCCTAATTCAAACCCATTTTTTCGGAATGTTGTTCAAATTCATTTTATTATGGGTGGTCTGTGGTCCCATGTTTCTCTGTGGGGAAGGTAAAAGTACTCCCTTCCTTCACTGAGTTTTAAAACTACTCCGTGTTGATCAGACCTTATTCTCCTCAGAGGTGTATTAACATCGGAAATAATCTAGAAGGAGCACTAAGCGTACGATGCTGTTCAGCGTGTTCACATTTCACATACCACGTCTGTTTATAGTGTATGAGGACATAGGTAAGCGGAACTATGAATTCCTAAAGTTAGGCAACAAGCAGTATTTTCTTGAAGCCAATTCGTCACATCTTAAGGCGAAATCTTCTCTTTCCAAAGTCAAAGCCCTGACAATATTTTTAAATATTTTCCTCGGGAAACCACTAGCACATATAGGTTCCTAATATAAATAAATACGCGAGTCCCAGGAAGCAGTTCAGAAGATGAAGAGAGAAGATGTGATCACTAGAACAAGAGTTTTATTTTCCTGACTTTTCGGATTCTGTCGAGTATCCTTAATCATAGGTAATCGTTGGATGGTCGGAACCATGCGCAGATAGGGGTGAAGCATGCACAGATTGTACGGTATTTAAAGTTGATTGTTGTCATCCACATGCGTAGTATAATTATAATCTCCTGTAGCCACTGTTTGGGCTCTTTATTGGTGCAGTGATGGCTTGACACTTTGCGTTCAAGGCATTTGTTACCGCGATTGCCTTGTCCATGTCGGATGCACGCAGTACGGGAACGCCAAATCGTTGCGCTTGTTGATGGACTGGGGGCCTGAGAACCATATTCGAGCAGCTCGCAGCTCACGCGGTTGTCACCTCTTGCGAGGATTCCGGCCTCTTTTAGCTTGAAAATTCAGCAGGCTCCCGTCAAGTGAGCTGCAACCTGGGAGTTAGCATCTTACTTCTTCCCCGCCGTCGCATGCGCGGTCATTCGCGTGCTTAGTAATGCCCCGGTTTCTCCGATGTAGTCGCTTTGTCTACAACTA